CCTAACTGTATATATTCTGCTTAGCCCATCCATTTAGTTTAATTTCAAATATAAAGTTTATTTCTTAAAGTTCTATTTGGTTCTATTTTCAAACTTGCTTGGCAATTTTGTCTCCTTTTTGCTTTGCTTGGTTCTTTTGTTTATTAAACTTTTTTTAAGTTACGTAGTTTATCTAATATGTCCCAATATCTGAAAACTTCAGTTGTCTAAATCTGTCAGCTGTTAATCAGTGATAGAAATGAACCCTAAACCTGCTGCTCTGTTTAGAGATCATGCCATAATGGCCATTTGTAGCATTAGCCTCACAGTGATACTGAAGCTGCTGAATTCAAGGCATAGAAACATTTAGTTTTGTACAGTTGTCTATACAGGGTGCTTCTTTAAACCCATTGGGTCACAGGTTCCTGAGCCAAGGGTTGGGACAGGGTGGGTGTTTTGCACTAAATGTTTGGCTCAAGAAAGGCAGGTAAAAACTACCCTTTACCTCTCCTGTTTTTATAAGTGGCTAATATGGAGATGTTGACGTTTTTGAGACACAGAGACATAGGCAGTTTAAAAGGGAGGTGGGCACATCCCTTGGGGGAAAACTTATGACCTCTTAGACTCATAAGTCTGAGAGGGGGCAGATTTCCAACTGTCCTAAAGCATTTGCTTAGGAGAGCTCTGTATCCCAACATCTTGTACATTTTTTTCCTCTTAGCTCTACACGGAAGTCTTCACGAGGAGCAATGAGAACCCAACGTCGTCGACGATCTAAATCTCCTGTCCTTCATCCCCCAAAGTTTATACATTGCAGTACAATAGCATCTTCTTCCAGCAGCCAGCTCAAGCACAAAGGCCAGACTGACTCCCCTGATGCCAGCAGTGGGCTGGGAATTTCAACCCCTAAAGACTTCAGTGCAGGAGAATGCTCTACTTCTCTCGATACTAATCACACAGGGGCAGTTGTTGAGCCTTTGAGAACTTCGGTTCCAAGGCTGCCGTCAGAGAGTAAGAAGGAAGACTCCTCTGATGCTACTCAAGTCTCCCAAGCAAGTCTCAAGGCCAATGAACTCTCTGACTTTCAATCTGTTTCCAAGCTAAACCAGGGCCAGCCATGTGCATGCCTAGGCAAGGAGTGCCAGTGTAAGAGGTGGCATGATATGGAGGTGTATTCCTTTTCAGGCTTGCAGAATGTCCCTCCCTTGGCCCCAGAACGAAGATCCACGCTTGAGGACTACTCTCAGTCGCTTCACACCAGAACTCTGTCTGGCTCCCCGCGCTCCTGTTCTGAGCAAGCTCGAGTCTATGTGGATGATGTGACCATTGAGGACCTGTCAGGCTACATGGAATATTACTTGTATATTCCCAAGAAAATGTCCCACATGGCAGAAATGATGTACACCTGATAGCAAGAACCAACTAATATGCTTTAAACCAATGAAGGGCTGTCAGAGAGATGTAGTTAATGGCAGACCTGGCAGCCACTTTGTGTGAGAAGACACCTCCTGCTCACTGTGCTTGCAATAAAAACTTTACTTGGCATCTCAGTTCATATTCATTCTTTAAACTTACTCTCAGAGTTCTTACATACCTACAAACTGATCAAAGAAAAGGTCCTTTCACTTAGTGATGTTCCTGGGGGATGAAGAAACTATAATTACGTGACTGGTAGCAGTGGGTACATGGTAAAAGCATTTTTCAAATCTGTGAAAGATTTTGTGGCCAAGGAAATGAAATGTGGTTTTGTAACTGGACTGAACATTTGTTATGCAGTAATTGCCAGCTCAGAATATTAGAACTTCTATGACTGATTTAAGCCATCTCTGATTTAATGCAAAATTTATTGTCTTTACAAGTTTCTTATGTTATTAAGCCAGAGATCCAGAGTTTAGATTTAATATGAATAAACTAGCTGGCCTACCCTGTGTTGTTGGAGAGAATCATTAGCCATCACTAAGCAAACCCTGCTGGTGGTGGTCATCCTGAGGCATGTTACATGACGTCTTTCATGGAAGAAGCAGCTTGGAATGGGCTGCTTCAGTTGGAGTGAGGGGATGCAATATTTGAAACTAGTATGTGTCTTCTCTGTCTCACATTTTAATATATGGCATGTTTCAGTCACTTGTAATGTAGATCTCATACTTCAGTTTCAAATGCTCTGGATGGATATTATCTTTGCTCTGCCTTCCTACCCCAGGGACCCCTAAGAGAATTTCATACATGCCGTATCCTGTGTTTCTGGTCAATCATCCCGAAATGCCCTCTGAAGTTTGGTTAAAAAAAAAAAATCCTCAATTTCAGCTGGAGGATGAATCCCTATCTTACTCATGTAGTCCCAAAGTGATTTTTACATATGCCACCTAACTTTTAATTCAGACCATCCTAAGCATGCCCATTGAATGTAGTGAAAATTTGTCTAGCCATTTTAACACCATGTTAACAAAAAGTTTGTTTTACGTAGATTACAAAGTAAGGTTTACTCTTTACTAAAACATCCCACAGATTCATGACAGTGGAGTTTGGGCTTACAAATAGCTGGACTTGTACTTGGGAGAAGTGGGGAGGGTATTTACTGGAAAAGCCCTGAACTTTAGTGAGAGACTCCTGCTAGTTACTAGTTTAGTGCGGATTGAGTAGTATCTGAAGGCTGTGTGTATAAAGCAAGGCAGCAGAATGCCTTCCATCACAGCACTAGGGACTGTAACAGGTACTGGTCTCATAATGCTAACAGAAGGTGCTTGTTTATACAGCAAGCATTCTGCTAGGCCACTCATGCTGCCTGCTCTCAGCGGCCGCCCCCTGGGACTTGGGGACTCCGATGGGGCTGAGAGGACTGGGCACCACCATCTTTTGGCTATGGGTGCCACCATCTTTGTGACAGAGTGATGGTTAATTTACATATTACCCTTTTATTAGGATACTAGAGGCCCAGTGCACAAAATTCATACATGGGTAGAGTCCCTAGTGGCTGCCAGCTGCCGGCCAGGGCCTTCCCTCGGCTACTAGCTGCCGGCTGGGCCTGCCTGCGTTCTGCGCCACCCCTTGGTGGTCAGCACACATCATAGTGAGTGATCGAACTCCTGGTTGGTTGAACTCCTGAGGAGACACTGCATATTAGGTTTTTATATATATAGACTCTAAATTGGAAAACAACTTTTTCCAAAACAAGTATTTAATGAGGAGAGTTGCATTGTTTTACATTTTTGCAAATCCCTATAATGTTTGGCTTAATTGAAGACAGCTAGATTCTCATGTCTGCTTCTGCATTTAGTCTCTTGTGACATTGCCTCTCATGTGACCTGGAAAACCACCTGTGAGACAAAGAATTTGAAAAAATAATGTTAATTTTACATATGTCACCTAACTTTTAATGACAATAGCTTTGGCCTTGCAGATCCTCTAAAAGAGTAGATTCCCAGACCACACTTTGAGAACCACTAATGTAGGCCATTAGAGCTGATTGTACCCACCACCCACGCTCACCTCCACAACTCTTGTTTTCACCTTTTTTACTGGAGAGTAATGGAGCAAATGGGCTTAACATGTTACTTGAATTCAGGTGGTTCCCAAGTCCCTAAATCTTTTTTGGTTTGCTTTTCAAACCAGTCGTCTGGTTATTTGCTTCGTTCTGTATATTAACAGAACAGTAACCAGAGAATGAAGAATGGTGCACATTCCTTTCAAAGTTGTTATGAGGAGGAGGTGTCAGGATGAAAAAGAAAGTTCCAATGTTTGAGTAACCTGTTGAAGAAATCCAAACTTGGGTAGAAGCTTAGGCATTCCAGATTTGCAGGAATGAATTGTAAGTATTTACATTTCAATATCTTCCTCAAAACATGGAATCTTAAAGTTAAAAATTACTCTGTTCAGATCTATTTGGGCCAACATTAATATGCATCCCTCACTGGGACATTTGACCTTCGGTGAGTGCCACTTACAGAACTCATCCTTCTCTGATGTGTCCTGGGAAACGGATTCAGATTGTGGATTGAGAAATTAATACTCTGATGTTGAGAAGAGGAGCATCCTGACGTGTATTAATAATTACTCATTGAATATTCATTCACTTATTTAGCACATTTACCAAGAGTCTACGAAACACCAGAAATACTATACTAGGAATAGAACAATAAGCAGAACTTACCCTTGTCCTCAGAGAAAGTGCTGTGGAGAGAGGATTGGGGGTAAACAGGGCTGGGCAGGGGGAGGGGCTGATATTTTATTTGGGGTGATCAGATAAGCCTCTGATAAGGTGACATTTGAGCTGAGACCTGAAGAAAGTGAGGGACCGAGCCATGTGGGTGTTTAGAGGAACAGCAAGAATATCTGTCTTGAAGCAGGCAGAGGGCAGGGGCAGTTCATGGAGGACCCTTTAGGCCCTTATAAAGGCTTCAACTCAGGAGGAGATAAGGAACCATTTGGGTTTGGAGAAGAGACATATCAGACATGGTCTTTTTAAAAAATATACTTTTTTATTGATTTCAGAGAGGGAGTGAGAGAAACATCCATGATGTTGCATGCCCCGCACTGGGGATGGAGCCCACAACCCCGGCTTATGCCCTGACCAGGAATCAACTGTGACCTAGCCCAGTGCCGCGGGCGCCCAGCGGGAAGCTGA